TCTCCACACGGCCTGGGCTTCCTCATACTATGGAGGCTGGGTTCCAAGGGCAAAATCAGGATAGAGAGAAACAGAACCAGATGGAAGCCATATCTCTTGTCATGACCTAGCCTTAGAAGTCCTGTAGTGTCACTTCTACCACATTCTACTCATGGAGACGGTCACAAAGTCTCACCCAGCTTTAAGAAGAAGGGAAATGGAATCTAACTCTTGATGAGGCAGTAACAAGTTCTGGAAGAGCGTATGAGAACTGATACATTATGGCCGCTTCGGGAAAATACAGTCTGTTGCACCAGAAGGTCCTGTCACTCTCTGCATAGCCTCCCCTTTCCCACCACCCCCTCACTGATCACTTCCATATCCAGGTCTTACCTGGCATGATCTAGATCACCTGCAGAACCCTACTGCAAGGGAGTCTGGGAAATGTTGTTTGGAGCCTTCCAGCCTCTACAGGGCAGGAAGGTAAGCTGAAGCTGGTCGGAATAGGTAATGAATGAAACAGCTTACAGTGTCTTCTACAGCTAAGAAAGAAGAAAGAGGGAGTAAATAAATAATTGGGAAGTGGCTCGTGGGGTCCGCTACAGATCCGTACCTTTTCTAATCTCTACTGCTTAACTCTTTCCTGCAACATCCAACAAGTATCTATTGAGCGTCTCCCGTGCTCCAGGCAAGCTAGATTAAACAAGACAGATAAAGATTTTAGAATCTATGAAAGACAGTCTCAGACAGAGAATCATTATAAATAACTATGTATTTACAATTGCTGTAAGGGCTTTACAAAGAAGTAGCGTATTCTGTCCTTCCTATTCCCACATATATATCTTGCCAGCCAGCCTGGTAGGAAACTTCAGGCATTAGAGACTGCTCTGAGCCTTCCATAAATCCTCTGTAGTCATTATAGGACAAAGCTCATCTAGGTGCTCAGATACTATTTAGTGTATGAACTACTCAGAGTTAAGCAGTAAAGATTAATAAAGGTAAGTGAGTGTTTAAATAAATGTAAAATTCTGTAACAGGCGAGTATCAACAGTATCTGGACGAACTTGGCACTAACCAAAGAAAAATAAAGGCTTTGGCCTCAGAGATGAGAAAAGTTCAATTCCAGGTATAATCCCAATACTGACAAGAGTAGGCAGTGGGGTCTATCTCAAGACAGAAATGTGAAATTCCAATGCCAAGGCCGACATTAACTACTTGTTTCAGGAGATGTAAACATTAGATTTCCTCAACATCAGCCCTGAGAAATGGAACTTAAGCCCCCAAGGAAAATCTGCCATTTATTCCAGGGAAATGTGGGTGCTGACAATGAGATCAGGTAACCGTGATTGGACTACGTGTCTGGAAACAATTGCATCCATATTGATCTACACCAAAGGTGTTCTCATGGGGTCACATGTTCAGTGACCCCAGAAGGTGTGTGTTTTAGTCTTGTTAAAATAGATTCCCCGTTTGGGCTAACCACACAGGGCTCTTTTAGTAGCTAAATTACCAAGAGCTGTGTTGATGACATTGTAATATATATTAAATCATATGTTATTTCCTCAATTAACGTAACGAAGTCAGGGGAACAAACAGCACAGCCTCACACCCATTCTTTTCCTCTCTGATGTTTTCTTCTTAAGAAACAAACATACAGCTTCATTACCAACAAGCTCAGAATAAATTAATTGGAGCTGAAATCTGTGAAATTAGATTCACTTTTCTAATTAGCTGAAGAATTCACAGATACCAGGGTGGTCTTTATCTCAGGCTCTCTTCTTCTCTGGAAGAGGATGGCCATTTGTGATCTCAGAAAATTAAGCCTTCCCCTCTTACATTTTACAAAGGAATTTCTGATTGAAGTGTAAATGTGAATTTCCTTTGGCCACCTGGAAGATCATTTTGACGCTGTGAATCCTGAGCAAATTCCTCATTAATTCCACCCCATGGTTGGGAGATTGTGTGATACGGCAACTTCCCTTTCCAGAGGATTTTTCTTTTTACTAATAATGTCCTCAGCTTAGTTGCCATCTTCCTCCACGGAGTTCAAAGTGATTTTGAGACTTTTTGTCTTCAATTCTCACATCCCAGACAGAAGAAATAGGGGCCAAGAGAGAAAGCAACTGCTTTCCTGACAGCCAAGTAAAGGAAGCTGAGGTCAGGGAGCCAGGTGCACATGGAACAAAGTTCTCAAGATGACCCAGTGGGTCAGTGGCAGCCCTGGAGCATCCCAACTCTATTTTATTCCTTACTCCCAGCTAACCAACAATCCCAATTGTCTCCCTAAAGTCTAATATTGTCAAACAGACCCATGGGGCTTTAAGTGAGAACTCTGCAGGCCTGACACTGCCCTTTCTAATGATTCACTCTAAGTGACTGAAAGTGACATAAAAGGGCAAAATTTGTCCAATGAAGGAATCAGCTCCCTGTCCATAGCAGCTAGATGCTCACTTTCAGGAATTTCCTGAATCATGTATGCATTCAGTTATTTGACCAAATTTTATTGAGCAGCTATTATATGTCAGATACTATTCTGGGCACTGCAGATAGAGAAATAATAAAATGAATGAAAAGCTTTGCTTTCACAGAGGTTGTTCTAGCGGGGAAGACAAACCGTTAACAAGATAAATAAGCAAAATATAAGATTTATTAAATGATGATAAATGCTAGGGAGAAAATAAAGTAAGGAGGTGGGATTTAAAATGTTAAGGTGCATGAGGGGGTGTATTTTTAGTTGGAATGACCAGAAAACACTGCGTTGAAAGAGCCCGGGAAGAGGTGTGAGACCACACTGAATGCTGTGGAGGGTAACATACCCTTGTGTGGAACAGAAGACTAGATGTTTTCTACAGTCTCCTTTGAAGTACATTTATTCCTCCTGTTTATGCATTTGCGAATGTGGCTGATATCTATCTTCTATAGGAGTTAAGAAATTAATTAATATATGTACTGAGTTGAATAGAGTCCCCCAAAAATTTACATCCACCTATAACCTCAGAATATAACCTTATTGGAAATAGGGTCTTTGTAGATGTAATTAGTTAAAATGAGGTCATACTGGATTATAGTGGGCCCTAAATTCAATGACTGGTGCCCTTATAAGAAGGCCACACAGAGACACAGAGAACACACATGGGAAGACAGCCATGTGAAGATGGAAGCAGAAATTGGAGTGATGGAGCTACAAGCCAAGGAATGCCAAGGGTTGCGAGCAACCTTCAGAAGCTAAGAGAAAGGTAAATTCTCCCTGAGAGCCTCTAGAAGGAACCAACCCTGCCAATACCTTGATTTTGGACTTCTGTCCTCCTGAGCTGTGAGAGAATACATTTCTGTTGTTTTAAACCACCCAGTGCGTGGTAATTTGTTACAACACTCATAGGAAACCAAGACAGATTTTGGTAGCTGGAAGTGGTGCTGCTATAACAAATACCAAAAATGTGGAAGTGCTCTGGATTGGGTAACAGGTAGAGGCTGGAAGAATTTTGAGGTGAATGATAGAAAAAGCCTAGACTGCCTTGAAGAGAGTGTTAGTAGAAATATGGACATTAAAGGAGATTTTGTTGAGAGCTCAGAAGGAAGTTAAGAGGATAATAGAGAACACTTCTGTTATCTTGGAGAAAACATATACTGTCATGTACAGAAAACTGATAGAAATATGAACATTAACGATGTCTCTGGTGAGATCTCAGATGAAAATGAGGTCACCTTTCTTCCAGTATTTTAAACTAGAAGAAAGGTGACCCCTGTTATAAAGTGGCAGTGAACTGGGCTGAATTGTGTTCTAGTGTTGGGTGGAAAGTAGGTCTTCTACTTACTAAGGGTATTAGATAAGGATATCCTTAGTAAGGATAGTTAGCTAAGGATACTTCCATGCAAAATATGGAAGGTGCAGCCTGGTTTCTCCTTGCTGCTTATAGCAAAATGTGAGAGGAAAGAGATAAGTTGAGAAGGAAGTATTAAGCAAAAAACAACCAGAACTTGATGATTTGGGAATTTCTCAGCTTATCTATATTATAAAAGATACTAAGGCACACTCTGGAGATAACATCAAGGGTGTGGCCAGACCTTCTACTCAAGAGATTTTGTGTAATTTGTTGATCCAGCTAACCATCTCAGCAGAAGTAAGGAAGAGAGTTGGGGTTATCCAGGAAGGACCTAGAGAGAACTCTCATGTCCCGTGACATGGATCCCACAAGGATTTTGAGGATGTTATGCCATCAGAAACACTACCAGCTTGGGTGCAACAGAGCAGAGATGGAACAAAATGAAGGAACGCTACTGACTGCTGGGATTCTACAGGCAGGAAACCAGATAGTAGAGCTACTCAACTGTTATCCTTCAAGAGAAGAGAAGAATGACTTTGAGGGGGCTCGGAGGTCAGCAGGGCTACTTGTTCCCCTAGAGAAAGTGGAACCCAAGACGCCAGGACCCCTGAGCAGCAATTCTTGTTCTCCACACACAGTACAGAAGCAAAGGAACATCAGGGAACAGCAGAGGCAGAGGCTGAGGCGCTTGGGTATCAGCAGCAATCCTGACAGATTGGCAATTAGACACCCTATCCCTATTTTCCAGGTACCACATCAGCCTCGATATGCTGGTGAGATCCTGAAGAGGAAAAGGAGGCTCAATAATTACTCTAATGGAATTGTCCATTACCCTTGTGGGATAAAGCTACAGCATCATTATTAGGTTACTTTAAAGGAAATGAAGAACGTGTGTATTTCTTATACACCTGAGTGAAGAGACTAAAATTTATGTCTACCCGAATGTTTCCAAATTGTCCTTATAAAAAAAGATTAAACCAATGAATATTCTTCTAAGCAATTATGAATGGAGCTGTTTCCTTAGTTGCATGAATAGTAGATGTATCTGTTATCTATTGCCATGGAAGAAATCTCCCCACAATTTAGTGGCTTAAAACAACAATGATTTATTATTTTTCATGATTATATTGATTGGCTGGGAAATTCTTCTCCTGGTTTCTCCTGGGCTTACTCATTTGGCTGCATTCAGATGGAGGTTTAGCTGGGCTGGAAGGTTCAAGATAGCCTCATTCACATGCCTAGTGCTGTATGCCAGCTGGGGCACTTTGGTTCTCCTCCATGTGGACTCTCATCTCCCAGCATTGACTTCCATACATGATGGGCTCGGGGCAGCATTCCAAGAGAGGGAGATTAGATGCCGCAGGGCCTCTGAAAGCCTGGCTCTGGAACTCACACAAGCTCATTTGTGCCACATTCTATTGAGAAAAGCAAGTTATTAAGCCAGCCCAGAGTCAAGGGGGTAGAGAATTGACTCTACCTCATGACGAAAGAAGAGGCAACATCGCTTATAAAGATGTGTGACCATGGGAAGGCAGGATCCATTGGGGTCCATTGTTATAATGATCTACCACAAACCGCTCTCTGGTCCCAATGATTCACATCCCTGCCACATGCAAAATACACTCACCCTCTCATGAGACCCACAGGTTTTCAAACAATTACAGCATCAGTTTCCAAGTCCAAGAGCTCATTACCTAAATCAGATTCAACTGTAGATTGGGCTTCTTGGGAACAGCTCCTTGGAGAGTGCTCATGTTGATCCAGAGACCTATGAATTAAAAAAAACAAGTTATTTGACCTCAACACAATTAACAGAAAGTGGCAAGACAGGAATAGGCTATCCCCCAAGAGACACCTCCATTTAAAAAGAGGGTATACAACTGAATAATATAAAGACAAACATCCTAATTGAAAAATGGGAAAGGGATCTGAACAGATATTTCTCCAAAAGAATACAAGTGCATAATAAACACACTAAAAGATGTTCGACATCATTATTCCTTAGGGAAATACAAAACAAAAGCCAAAAAGTGGAATCAACACAAAAGTATGTTAACCAATATATAAATAAATAAAACATTGTGTATGCATACAATAGAATATTAATAATAAAAGGTAAAAAAAAAAAAAAAAAGAGGGTAAATGGGAGACACATCATAGTAACTGTTTCATGGCATTTTTGAAATCCAGCTGGGCACATGTCAGCAGTTCCCCCAACTCTAGGGTCAAAGAGTGTTCCTTTATTAGGGGGTCTATTTTCTGCTTCCTGGGAGTAGTTCCCTAGTTATTGTTCCCTTTGTTTCTTTGCTCCACCATCTGAGACTTCCTTCCTTTTCAATAATTAGTGGATCATATTTACAGCTGGGTAGCTCTCTCTACCTGCTTCCTGCCTACAAAATTTAAAAGCCCAGAGACCTCTTTTCATTTTGCTGTTTCTGTTCCTTTTAATCCAAGCTAGTAATGTATTTGCTGGTACAATTCTCTTTAAAATTGTGTGGGTTTCCCATGAATCTGATTGAAAAATCACTGCATGCTTCAAAAGCCACATTCATACTTTCCAAACTATGTGTCTTTCTACTTTAGGTTGGTGTCAGGGTTGAGCTAGAAGCTCATGTGTCTATCTGAGAGGATCTATTAAGCACCACCTTAAATCTTTCTGAGATCTAAACAAAGAGTCTTATAGTCATAATCATGATTCATTCTTTACCTGAGACCATTTCTTACTTTGAGAATCTTTTGCTGACGAAGAGTGTCCTGGAATCTCCATATTGCCTCTCAATTCTTCCTGCAAACTGAATAGTCTTGAGTTTCTTTTTCTCTTGCCAATGGGCACTTTGAATATTCTTTCTGGAAATCTCCTTAGCCAGATCCACAGGTTCATTAACTACATTTTTTGTTCTCAAAGGTAACACTAATTGTTCCTCCACAATATAACACAGGTTGCCCTTTCTCCAGATCTAAAGAGCAGTTTTCTCACTGCCTTTCCAGCAACCACATCCTCATCATCCTTCCAGCCTCTAGCTGCCACTCAGCCCCAAAGTCTACCCACGTTTTAAATTTTTGTTAATAGCACCTCTACTCCTAAGTACAAAGTTCTGTTTCAATTAGTTTCTGATACATTAAAAAAAAAAACTACCCCAAAACTTAGTGGCCTAAAGTCAGCAGTCTGGGCTATGCTCGGTTGGACAATTTGTCTCTGCAGCAGATGGTTTCATCGGACTCACTCAAGCATTTGCAGCCAGCTGGTACCTCAGCTGGGGATGGAGGAACAAAGATGGCCTCACTTACATGCCTAGACTGAGCTGGGATGACCGACATGATTGAAGATGGCCTGGGCCTCATTCTCTGCATGAGGATTATTATCTTCAAGGAAGCTATCATGTTCTCCTTTACAGGGAGTCTCAGGAAACAGGAAAGGCTCCTAAGGACCAGGCTCAGAACTTGCACAACATCCCTTTCTCTGCATTCTCTTTGGTCAAGCAAGTCACAAGCCCAGCCCAGATTCATCATGGGAGAGAACTACAGAAAGACACAAATTCAGCACCTTTGGTTCTCAATACTATATCAGGAGCCTAAAAGATTGGAATTGGTCTGGGACCCTCTAGGCCAAAGGAGAGGCTCTGGTCCAGAGTAAGTACTCAGTCAGTGCTGACAGATGAGCAAATGAACATGTGCAACCTTCTCTCCTCACTGAGTGAGAGAGTAACTTGCCCCAGGAGAGAGAAATGCCCCAGTCCTGCCCTTTGCTGCATCGCCATCCCCTCACTGTAAGCTCTGGCTTTGGCCCCCTCCTCTCCACTCTCACCCGCAGATGTGGAGCCAAGACCGGAAGGATAACCCTCGTAGCCACAGGTTCCCGCCCACTCCCCGCTTGGAGTCATCATGCCTGGGTCACCATGATGGCAATGGGCTCTCCCCTGAAGTCCAGCAGCACAGCAGCTTTGGGCCAGAGACCCAGAATTATGGCAAAGAGCAGAAAGGAGGGGGTGGACAAGAGGATGCACGGGAATGTCCCCACCACAGCATGACCTCACCAGCCACAGAACTATAGGCCATGGAGGGCCTGAGCCACTGCACAGGTGGAAATGGAGGCCCGGAGAGGAGACTCTGGTCACTGGTCAGTGGCAGAGCCATGCCTCAGGCCTGGGGGTCTGACCTTTAGTAGTCCATTTATTCTCTTAGAGGGTCACTCAGCAGACACTGACCTGGATCTGAAGGTTTGCCTCTGGCACTCAGGAGAGGGTGCAGGGGAAATAGAGTGAGCAAAGAGAGAGGAGGCTGTCCCTTCCCCAGGGATCCCCCCAACAGAACCCTCTCTCCACCTGAGGCCTCCCGTCAGCAGGAACCCCACGAAGCAGGGCCAGGTCTTGGGAGTATCTCTTGGTCCGGAACTTGCCGTGTTCTTCCTGGTCCATCAGAGGGGAATGTTGTCTCCCCCCACCAACCCTCAGTGCTCACCCAGTATCCCCAGCCTCTTGCCCCAGCTGCCAACTGGGACAGCCCTGACACAGCCTTCACCAGCCCCATTCCCTCAGCCCCCACCTCCCCTGACCCTCCCACCCCCTCCAGGACGCCCACCTGTGTCAGCCCCCAGAGTGCACAGCCCTGAGCTCATCAGTCGGTCACCTTCCCTGCCCCTGCTCTGCGCTGGGCCTGGGAGACAGCAATGATGCAGAGCCAGCCCTGCCCTCAGGTCCTTCCAGACACAGACAAATAGCCATTTCCCTCTGACAAGCAGATTGATGCTTTCCTCTCAGGAGAGGCTCTTAGAGCCTGGGAAATGTTGTCTGCTCTGCGTCCAGAGCAGCTCTGAGGGCAAAGAGACCCGGAGCTGAGGTCCCTCTCCCCAGCCACCACCTCCTCCCTGGGATTTTTCCATAAATCCTTGGGTGACAGGGAGAAAAGGACTAAGAAGAGTGAGGGAGGACTGGAGAGAGGTGCACGCTCACAGGCTTCCTCGTGCACACACAGACTCAGGCCTGCACATGCCTCTCAGACAGGCGCACACACATGCCACAAGGTACATGCACACAGAGACACAAACACCAGGCGCACGCTCACACATGCGTGCGCACACACACACACAAGCATACCAACACACACACATACTTAGACACACAAATGCCTGCACACAGTCACACCCAGGTAAATGCACACATAAACGTACCTCCTGACATAGTGCACTCACATCATCACGCAGGGCCATGGGCAGACACAAAAATAATATGGAGATACACACATGCTGCAGCCACGGCACACAGACACTTGCACGTAGACTAGTTCGCATGAGGTTGCCCGAATTTCATAATCACAGTGGGCACGTGCATCACAGTGGCTCTACCCCGGGGCTGGGCGGTGCTCCCTACAGCCTGCGGTATAGCACAGCCCCTACCTGGGTGGTCTGAAGCCTCTGACGGGAAGAGGGGAAATGGAGAAGGGAGGAAGATGCATTCTGAGGAAGTCCTTAGCCAGGCTGAGGGATGCATCCCGTGGCCCTGAGACAGGGGAGGCTCCAAAAGAAGTGTCAGGCGATTGCAAGTCTGGGGGTGTACAGCTAGCCACGCTCCCCACACTGCACTCCAGGAAACTCCAACCCAGTGTCCCAAATGAGGGGCTCCTATCCGGGCCTGAGGGGGCTTCTGCTGAGAGGGAGGGAAATAAAACCTCCCGGCCCTTACCCTCCCCCCACCCTCACTAGGAATCCCGACGCAGACCTGCTGCTCCAGCAGATTTGCAGGGGCGGGAGCAAAGGAATCGATGAGGCTCAGAGCATTTACAGCCAGTGGGAAAAGCTGCCCTGGGCCTCTCTGACATCAGAAATAAATGATCCCGCGAACAGAAAACCACTCAGACGCGGCCAGAATGACCAAACTAGTGAGTGCTTCCACCCTGAGGGACTGCCGGCAGCTTCTGGCTGCAGTGAGCCCTGGCAGGGTTGTCTGTGCCCCCCAGGGTCAGATCACACAGCATCCAGGCCCCAAGACCCCAACAGCCCAAGCCACAGCCACCGACATTCCTTCTAGGCGGCCTCTCAGCCCTGGGCACACGTGAGGCCGGAACCTGGGGCCCATCCTCTTAGAGAGCAGCTGCTCGGAAGGATCTGTCTGTGGACAAAGATGGGGTTTTGTTTTCTTAAACAGAAAATCTGGTTTCTTTCTCATCTCACATAACTCCAAGTCTGCTGACAAACTCTAGAAAGGAAGAAACCAGTAGGCACACGAGATCCCTGGCTCATGCAGGACCCCAACCACCTGCTAAATCCCCCCCAAGTGTTTCTAGGGGTCCCAGAAGGTGACCCACATGTGCTCGTGGATGAAGCTCGTCAGTTGCTATACAACAACTGCAGATTTATTCCTCTTCTGCCAGGGACTGTGTCTGCCTGACACTGCCACTTCTGCTGGGTAGTTCTGGGTCCCTCTGACACCTCTATGGGGCCAGAGCCTGTTCCCCAGCCAGGCAAAGTGGGGCAAAACCTCTCTCCTCCTTTGCCATGCTCAGTCAGAGGCATCCAGAGCAGGGCTGCTTGGGCCCCACTGCCTTACAGAATTTTAAGGAAATGAGTTTTGCCATTCTGACCATCCCAGCCATTCTCCCCTCCTGTGCCTTAGCATCCAGACGTGAGCCCGTGGGCGCTGGGAATGGAGACAGAGGCAAGGCTGGACCCAGAACTACTTCGCCCCTAATGCCTCCACTGGAAAAACTCAATAGCCTGGTCACCTCTTCCCAAAGGACTGATGGTCTACACGAAAGAGGATGCTGTCTCACCGG